CAAATCGAATAGTGATGTGGCCTTACAGACACATTCAGCAAAAGATACCAAAGGCAAAGGAAAGTGTTTCGGCAGAGGTAGAGGTGGCTACAACAAATCGAATGGTAGAGGAAACCAAATTGAAGGAAACATGCCGAATCAAAGAAGACCATACCAAGGAAACCAAAGAGGTGGTTAGCAAATAGAGGAAGAGATGGTGGTCGAAAACCTGATAAGAGTCGCATTCAATGTTACAATTTTCAGAAGTATGGACATTATTCGAGTGATTGTCCAGAAAAACAAAAGAATCAAGAAAATGATGCAAAGCTTGCAAAACATGAAGAAGAAGAGATGATGTTGATGGTCACAACAAGAGATGAAAATATATTCAAGGACCAATGGTACTTTGACTCAGGATGCTCATCACATATGTCTAGAAGGAAAGAGTGGTTTATCAATATAAAGCCCTCAATGAAAAATATGGTAAAATTTGCAAATGACAATACTCTAGCAGCTGAAGATATTGTTGATGTTATGATTATGAGGAAATATGGCAAAAGATCAATAATCTCCAATGTGTTGTACATACTAGGCATGAAGAGCAATTTGCTCAGTATAGGGCAGTTGGTCGAAAAGAACTATAAAGTGTCAATCAAAGATAAGATGATGAGAGTCGTTGATGCAAATGGGAGATTAATCTTGAAGGCTCCTATGTCTTAGAATCGAACATTCAAGATTGAACTAAATGTGATGGAGCACAAGTGCCTTTCGACCGCAGCTAGCAGAAATGAATGGATATGGCATTATAGACTAGGTCATCTCAACTTCAGAGAGATCAAAGACTTGAATAGAAAAAATATGGTTTCAGGATTTCCTGAAATTGACATTCCAAATGAAGTATGTGAGAAATGTGTGCAGGCGAAGCAGCACAAGAATAGCTTCAACAAGGATTCAGGAAGCAGATCGAAGGCTATTCTTGAAGTCATATACTCTGATGTATGTGGACCAATCCAGGTGGATTCGATGGGAGGTAACAAATACTTTATTACATTCATAAATGATTCTAGTTGAAAGCTATGGACTTACCTGATCAAAAAGAAAAGTAAAGTGATCGAGATATTTGCCAAGTTTAAGTCTATGATCGAAAGACAAAGTGGTCGAAAACTCAAAGTTTTGAGAACTGGTGGTGGTGGAGAGCATGTGTCGAAAGACTTCGACATGTTATATGAAAAAGAAGGCATTGTGCATGAGTTGGTGCCACCATATACTCCACAACATAATGGAATTGCAGAAAGAAAGAATCGAACCATCATGAATATGGTGAGAAGTATGTTGAAAGGCAAGAATTTACCTAAAGAGTTTTGGAATGAAGCAGTTTCGACTGCAACATACATTTTGAACAGATGTCCCACGAAGAAGATAGAAAGAATTATTTCAGAAGAATGTTGGTCTAGTGTGAAGCCTAGCTTGAGTCATCTGAAGGTATTTGGATCTATTGCACATAGACATGTGCCAGATCAGTTGAGAAGAAAACTTGATGACAAGTCAAGTCAAATGATTCTGGTTGGATATCATTCGACAGGAGGTTACAAGTTGTTCAATCCAGAGAACAAGAAGATTGTGATCAGCAGGGACGTGATCATAGATGAGTTTAAAGAATGGGATTGGACTGGAAATGTCAAGAAAGATTCAGTGAGAATCCTATTCGAAGAACCAGAAACTCAAGTCGAAAGAGAAGTTCGACAATTGGAACCAGCGGATATACAATGTACAAGCAGGCCTCAAAGAACAAGGTGTATGCTTGTAAGATTGCAAGATTGTGTGATTACATCAGATGATGTAATAGATAATGAAGGTGAGCTGGTACATTATGCTTTCTATGCAGATGTCGAACTTGTCAATGCAGCTGAAGCATTGAAGGATTCGAAGTGGGTGAAAGCAATGAACAAAGAAGTGAAGTCTGTCGAAGACAACAACACTTGGTGACTTGTCGAATTGCCTCAAGGCAAGAAGGCAATTGATGTCAAGTGGGTATACAAAGTGAAAACGAATTCGAAAGGGGAAGTAACTCGACACAAAGCAAGGCTTATAGCGAAAGGATTTCTACAGAAAGAAGGAATAGACTTCGATGAAGTTTTTACACCTGTTGCTAGGATCGAAACAATCAGGTTGGTTGTTGGTCTAGCAGAAATAACAGTTGGCACATATGTCAGATGGACGTGAAGTATGCATTCCTGAATGGACCCTTAGAAGAAGAAGTTTATGTTAAACAACCAGTTGGGTTTGTGAAACATGATGAAGAGAGAAAGGTGTACAGGCTACATAAAGCCCTGTATGGATTGAAACAAGCTCCAATAGTTTGGAATAAGAAAATTGATAGTTTCCTAAGGGAGAAGGAATTTGTGAAGTGCATAACTGAACATGGAGTATATGCAAGAAGAAGCAATGGTGAATTGCTTATACTATGTCTCTATGTAGATGATTTGTTGATAACATGTAGCTGCAAGAGTGAGATCGAAATCTTCAAAGGTGATCTCAGCAAGGAATTCGAAATGTCTGATCTGGGTGAGATTTCATATTTCCTTGGAATCGAATTCTACAAGAGCAGTAGGGGTTTGGTGATGTATTAAAGAAGATATGCAGGAGAAACTCTTAAGAGATTTGAGATGGAAAAATGCAACCCAACTTCGACACCTACAAAACCAAGACTGCAACTATCGAAAGATGCAGATGAAGATGATGTTGATCCAACCCAATACAGAAGACTTATTGGGTCATTAAGATATCTTTGTCATACAAGGTGTGACTTAGCATATAGTGTAGGTATGATAAGTAGATTCATACAGAAGCCAAAGATATCACATCTAGCAGCAGTGAAGAGGATACTAAGGTATCTCAAAGGAACTTTTGATTATTACATTTTATTTCATGCAGCTGATAAAGGAAAAGAATGCAAGTTAGTGGGATACATTGATTCGAGTTGGTGTAGTGATGCTGAAGATCGAAAATCAATAGCAGGACATGTGTTTATGCTAGGTGGTGCACCAGTTGCTTATAATTCAAGAAAGGAACCAGTAATGGAATTATCATCATGTGAAGCAGAATATATAGATGCTTCTCTTTGTGCATGTCAAGCAACTTTGATGGTGAACTTGGTCGAAGAGATAACAGGGAAAGATCGTGGAGCAATTACCATGAAGATAGACATCGTGTCAGCTATTAATCTGGAAAAGAACCCAATAGCACATGATCGAAGCAAGCACAATGAAATGAGGTTCCATTATCTTCGAGAGCAGGTAGCAGATGGGAAGATGAATTTGGAACACTGCAGAATTGAGAATCATATTGCAGACATCACGACGAAGGGAGTGCAAGTCGAAGTATTCATTAGACTAAGAGCCATGATGAACATAGATAATTTAGACATAGTGAATTAGGTGGTGTGTTAAATTATAATTCAGTGTGTCGAAACTATGTGTCAAAAAGATTAGATTTGTTTTAGATTTAAATAGATTTGGTTTAAGTCTAGAATAGATTTGATTTGATTTAGTAACAAAATAAATATTTTGGGCTTTGGACTTAGGGTGTAAGCTCAGTTATAAATAGAGAGAGTAACTCCTATTTTTTGTAAGCAAGTCAAGCAAGTCATTCACAGTAGTTTGCAGTTGCAAAGTGAGTAATAAAGGTTTCACAGTTTGTGAGCAGAGAGAAACTCTGCAGAAATTATTTGTCTTGTCTTCTTTCTTTGTTTGTCTCATAATTAAATTGTCATTGTGGTAGAAATTCATCATAGACTTTGGTGAGTTTCTAATATGTAACAAACTATTTTCACATTTTTAAATCAAAACAAAATCTTTTCGACATTTTTTGTCTTTGTCGAATAAACTACTTCGACACAAGAAATTACTTTTAATAAAGATTACAAAAAAAATTGAAAATTATATATTTAAATTTTTTTTACTAAAGCAAAAAAATTAATTAAAACTTTTTTAAGAGACACAAATTAAATAATGGGTTAAATATGTTTTTGGTCCTATAAATATCTCAAATTTCATTTTTAATCATTATTAAAATAATGACATGTTTTAGTCCCTACAAAATTATCATGTACGTAATTTTAGTCCTTGTTGTTAAAAGAATGTATATTTTTGAATGATTATTTTGTAGACATGTTTAGAACGTTATAAAAAGTTCTTTGAAAAAAAAGAAATTTAAAATTTGATTTCTAAGTTGAGATTTTCATTATTTTTATCATATCTTTTGAAATTTAAAAAAATTATATTTAATTCTTCTCATTTTAAAAAAATTTAAAATTTAATTAAAAAATATTTTAAACATATATAAAAAATATTATTTAAAAATTTAAGGATAATTAAACAGTTTTTAAAATTTTAGAAAATAACATAAACTAAAATTGGATGAACAAAAAATTTTCATTTTTTTAATAGAAATTAAATATGAAATTTGAGATATTTATAAGAATTAAAAACATATTTATCTCTTAAATAATTATAAGTAAAAGGTTTTCATTAAAGCGCTATTAGACCAAAAAAAAAAAATATATATATATATATATATATATATATATATATATATATATATATATATATATATATATATATATATATATATATATATATATATATATATATATATATATATATATATATATATATATTAATGGTAGGTAAAAATTTGGGATAAGTTACGTGTAAATCCAGGCGTTACCAATTTTGTTTCCGACCGTTACCAATTTTCCAATCTCCAACGGGAACTTTTTATTTATTTATTTCTTTATGGTGTACCACACATAAATCCAAAATTGGAAGACGTGTTATTCCAGCTCAAAACAAAACGACCTGGGTCTCTGCACTTCACGCGCTTACATTACTATAAATATTCATCTACTCTCACTGCTTTTCTCAAACACTTCAACTCTCACTGCTTTTCTCAAACACTTCAACTCTCATCATCTCTTTCTATTCTCTCCTTGTATTTTGAAGAATTCTGAAGATATAGCCATGTCTGTTTTCAACTTGAACTTGTCTTTAATGATTGTTTCTTTGTTGTTGTTGAGCACTACAATGGCTCAATCTCCAACTAAATCGCAGCCACCTAGGAAATCAATCTCTCCGTCACCTGCTGCTGTAACTCAATCACCAGCATCTTCTCCACCTCAACCGTTTGCTTCTACTCCGGCCATCTCTCCTTCTTCCATCTCTGGTCCGCCATCTGAAGCACCAGGACCTGCTTCGGACGCTGTCGTTTTGAACAGAGTTTCAGTCGGTGTTGGATCTGCTCTTGTGATTTTCGTAGCTTTTTTGATCTTGTAAGAGACATAAATTCTGCTATGGAGTTATATTTTATTTTTTATTCAATTCATTCATTTTGATTTGTTTATTTTTATATTATAGTTATTCCAACACTTATACAGAACTTTGGTTTGATTAATAATAATTAAATTTCTGTTTTATATTAGTACCCTCTTTGCTTTGATTAAGTCAAGGTTTATTTTAATTCTGAAAAAAGAAAATAGCATGACTGAATTTAGTCACCCATAAACATGATAAAACAACTTAGTCACAGTAAGCCTTTTAACTTTCTATTTATCTATTTTTAGTTGGAAAATTGATTACCTCCTTTTGAGAAATAGATTTCGACCCGTGTTGTTGTATCCTATAAGTACTTTCTCATGTAATGTTTTGTTTTATTAATGTCATTTTAACGTTTTACTCTCTCTCTCTCTCTCTCTCTCTCTCTCTCTCTCTCTCTCTCTCCAATTAACTACGTTTCACCATTGATTCACCACTCAAGCAAAGATGACTCTACCATTTCCAATAATCGAGTCCTTACCAATCTTCCAACCCTTGATTCAAAGAACTATGATAAATGGTGCAAACAAATAAAAGTTTTGTTAGGTATCAAGGCGTTCTTGAAGTGGTTAACAATGGTGTTACACGAGACAAAAGTTACAGATGCTTAGAAGACTAAATTCAAGAAAGGGAAGAAGGAAGACTACAAGACACTCTTTTTGATTCATTCTTGTGTCAACAATGACAACTTCAAAAAGGTTGGTAAGTGCGACTCAGCAAAGCAAGCATGGAAGATCTTGAAGAAAGCTTATGAAGGGGCTGATAAAGCAAAGATGATGATGTTACAAACTCACAAGCACTCATCACTGCCATGAATTCCATCTCGAACCGTTACCATTACTTCCTGCTGGTTGTTCAACGCATATGATGGGTAGAAAGTATTGGTTTGTCAAAATCAATAAAGCCACGAAGAATAAGGTGAAATTCGCGGATGACACCACTTTAGCGGTCGACGGGATCGGTGATGTTTTGATCATGATGATAGAGTTACATGAGAAGAATTACATGATTCACATGGAAACATGATTTTGCGCATTTTGGACCGAAACGAGGTTTTAGTCCTTAAAGCACCCATGGCTGTCAATCGGACTTTAAAGATAGAGTTGAAAGTAATGGAACATAGGTGTCTTGCTACATCGACCAGTCATGATGAGTGGTTGTGGCACTACCGTCTTAGACATCTCAACTTTCGAAACCTCGACGCGTTACAAAGGAAGTATAGTAACCGGGTTGCTAAAAATCAATGTTCCAGCTGAGATGTGTGAAGAGTGTCTTCAAGGGAAGCAACACAAGAGTATTTTCAGCAAGGATGCAGGTCATATGACCAAACATCACCTTGAGGTGGTGTATTCTGACGTGTGTGGTTCAATGCAAGTCGACTCGTATGGTGGCAATAGATACTTTGTCATATTTATCGATGATTTCAGTAGGAAACTATGGACATAACTAATCAAGAGGAAGGATGAGGTATTTGATGTGTTTAAGAAGTTCAAGACTACGGTTGAGCAACAAAGTGGTCACAAAATCAAAATTCTCAAAACAGATGGTGGAGGTGAGTATACCTCGAATGAGTTTGGGAATTATTGTGATGAGGAGGGTATATTGCATGAGGTTATGCCACCCTATACGCCTCAGCAAAATGGTGTTACCGAGAAGAAAAATCGTTCGATAATGAACCTGGTTCGTAGCATGTTGAAGGGAAAAAGCTTACCGAAGGAACTATAGGGAGAAGTCATTTCTACAGCCGCCTATTTGTTGAATAGGTGCCCTACAAAGAAGCTAGATAAACTGACTCTATAATAGGTATGGTCTGAATTTAAACCAATTTTAATTCATTTGAAAGTTTTTGGTTCGGTAGCATTTCGACACATTCTGGGTCAGCTTCAAAAGAAGTTGGATGACAAAGGTGAGATGATGTTGCTTGCTGGTTATCATCCTATCGGAGGCTACAAATTATTTGATGTGAAAAGCAAGAAGATTGTAATAAGTTGAGATGTGGTCGTGGATGAGGTAAGGTTATTTGACAGCAGAAAAATGACCATGACAAGTGTGGAAATTGATTTCCAGGATAAGGGAAATCGATTTCTGTCACGATTTTTGCATAATGAGGCTCCTGGGATTGTTTCTGGAGAAGAGGAAATTGATTCCCCACATTCTGGAAATCGATTTCCACAGAAAATGCATAAAATCAAAATTCTGCAGGTTTTGGACAACAACCGATTTTAGCTAAAAATGGAGAAAATAATAGGAGGGTAAATCTAAAAGGCAAAATTGTTAAGCATAATACTTAACTAGTCGTGAAGGGATTTTTGCAAAGAGAAGGTATAAACTATGATGAGGTGTTTGCACCGGTTGCTAGGATAGAAACCATACGGATTTTTGTTGGTATTGCAAATAGCAATAATTGCCCGATGTATCAAATGGATGTGAAATCCACGTTTTTGAATGGTCCACTTGAGGAGGAAGTTTATGTAGAACAGTCCCTTGGTTTTGTTGTGAGTAAATCAAGATGGAAGAGTCTACAAGTTTAAGAAAGCGCTTTATGGTTTGAAACAAGCTCCTGGAGTTTGGAACAAACACATTGATGGTTTCCTAGTTAACGTTGGCTTCAAGAAATGTGTTTCCAAACATGGCGTCTATGTGAAAACGGATGCAAGCAAAGATGTGATCATACTTTGCTTATATGTGAGCGACTTATTGATCACAGGTAACAATGAAATAAGTATTTCTAAGTTCAAGAGTGAACTTATGGAGGAGTTTAAAATGAGTGACCTTGGAGTCATGACTTACTTTCTTGGTATAGAGTCCCACGAGTCAAAATTGGGACTACTCATGCATCAAAGAAAGTATACTCTTGAGATTTTGAAAAGGTGTGATATGGAGCATTATAATGCTGCCAATACACCTGCTGAAGCGAGGTTGAAGTTGTCAAAAAGTGATAATGAGCAGAATATGGATACACTCAATATAGGAGATTGATTGGATCGTTACATTACTTGTGCAATTTGCGGCCAGATTTGGCATTTAGTGTCGATATTGCGAGTTGATTCATGGAGAGACCGAATGTGTCTCACTTGGAAATAGTTAAGAGGATCCTAAGATATATCAAAGGTACTCTTGGTTGTGGAATTCTCTTTCCCGTAACTGATACGGGATGAAAAATATGAGTTGCTTGGTTACATGAATTCCAATTGGTGCAGAGATAAGGACGACCAACAGTCTACGACTGATTATCTATTTATGTTCAGAGGAGATTCAATCTCTTGGTGTTCTAAAAAGAAACTTATGGTGGCACTCTCTTCTTGTGAGGCTGAGTATATCGATGTGTCGTTGTATGCGTGAGCAACAAGGTTGAAGAAGCTGTCACACTCTTGGTTGATAATGTTTCAGCCATTAATCTTACTAAGAATCCCATTTCACATGGGAGGAGAAATCATATTGAGATGAGGTTTCATTACTTGAGGGATCTAGTGTGTGCAGGCCAACTAAGATTAGAAAATTTTCAAAGCGAAGAACAAGTTGCGAGTTTATTAACAAAAGATGTAACAAATGTGGTGTCCAAGAAGCTTATGATGAGTTTGGACATGAATAACTTGGAGAATTTGGATTAAGGTGGTGTATTGGAGGTCCTTAATAATTCAAATGTATTGTGGAAGTTTCTGGGATCGTTTCATTAAAAACAACTTATGAAAAAAGCACTTCTAGAAATCTGGAAAAACAAAGTTTCGAAGGGGAAATTGATTTCCCAAAATGTGGAAATCGATTTCCACAGCTTTCTTGATTTTTATTTGTCTGTTTTTAGTTGGGTAAATCGATTACCCCCTTTTGGGAAATCAATCTCCACGCCGTGTTTTTGTTTTTTTTAGTTGTTTTTTGGGCTTGTTTTGGTTCCAAAGTGTATTGTTGTATCCTAGAAGTACTCCCTCATGTAATGTTATGTTTTACTAATGCCATTTTAACATTTTTCTCCTCAACTAATTGTTGGTTCCTAAATTCGACACCTTTGTTTTGATTGATGGCAGCCATTAAAAGCTGAAAGATGCTTTCGACTGGCTAAGCTTGTCGAAGTGCCTGTCGAAAGATGGCAAAAATACTTAGAAGATTTCTTCCAAGGAAGAAGGCTGAATTGCCTTCGACGTCGAAGGAGTTTTCGTCGAAGACGTCTCTTGACGAACGTGTTCGACGGTCCAGAGTGGAGCAGTTTGAAATTCAAAGCTTTGGAGGGAAAACGGTTTCCAGCAGTTTCTACGTGCGAACGTGCAAGGATCTGGAGCGTCGAGCATGGAGAACGTGACAAGTGGCTTGATCTCGAAGCAGTGTAACTGCCCGACGGTTACTTGGAATGTTTTTGTATAAATAGGAGTAGACGTGTAGTTTCTCGCGTGTGTTCACAATAGATACATAGTCACTCATTTAGATTCAAGTACCCAGTGTGAGCGAACGAATTGTTGAGAAATGTATGTGTGAAACACCAATTTAATCAATTCAAGTCATTTACTTTTCCAGTATTTTACATGCTTTTTCCCTTTAAGATTCCTGTCGAACCTTTACCTTCAAGCCTTGTTTATTTTACCAAGCCTTTTCCTTTATGCAATTTACTTTAAACAATTTACTTAAAGCCTTATCCACATTAATTAAACTTCAAAATCAACCTATGTCCATAGGATCAATCTGATCGATCCTGCGAGTAACCAAATAAGTAACCATTTGGAGGATCAGCGGTTGTTTACCAAATCCCAAGGTAAACAAATTGGCACACCCGGTGGGACTGTGTGTTGATTGTTGAAAAAATCTCATCTTTTCGAGTTGTATGTTATTGAGGAGTGGTAGAATATACACCAACGATAATAATACTGCCAGAAGAAGGGAAGAGATGGCGAATCCGCCAAACAATAATGAAATTCCACCACCAAGTGTGGGAGCAACGGTTAATATGACCGTTAGTGAAGCGACGAATGTTGGTTCGATGCCAGCAGTGTCAGTCACAACCACGGGGCCAATAACTTCGTTAACAGGCTCCAGAATGCCTTTGGGAACCCCCCCTCCAAGGGGAAATACTGGCCCAAGGCCAGTGGTTCCCCCAGGATTTATTCCATTCTATGGTATGCCAACTTCTGAACTGGCAAGCCTGACGAATGTTGCGTCCACTTATTCAGAACCTTTCGTGAGTGCTACTTCGCCACTCCAAGGCTCTGGAGTAGGCATGGCGAATAGAAATAGGACCCAACTCCTAGGAGGAACGTCCCAAGTAGCCCATGGTCTTACAAATGCCTCGACAGCAGTCTTGAGGCAACAGATGGACGAAAGCAACCATGATATGGTGCAAATGTTGGCACAAACTTTGAGTACAGTGCTAAATCCTCTAATACAAAATACTACTCAGTCGAATCAGCAAGTTACAGCGCAAATGACGCGTTTGGCTGACTTCTTTGGAGTACCCCCACCTATTCGACAGCCCCAAAGGGCGCAAATAAGAGGAAATCAGGGGATATTTGTAGAGGAAGAAACCACCATTAATCAGGCCCAACAGCCTGTAGAACAACCTGTCGAAGAACCTAGGGTAATAGCCCCAGAGGTTAGGTTAGTTAACAGAAACCAAAATGCTGACGAAGTGGTTCAGCATGTCCAATACCAAAACATGGGGTTGGAAAACAATCTGGCAACCATGATCGAAAGGATCATGACTCAGAATGGGATGAACATGGGCTTTCGAAGGCCCAACTTTACTTCTCCTTTGTCAGAATATGTGTTACAAACTGACTTACCCCCTAGAACCAAAGTCCCCAAGTTTACTAAATTCTCTGGGGACACGACAGAATCTACTGTCGAACATGTGGCAAGGTATTTGATCGAAGCAGGAGACATTTCAAATAATGAAAACCTAAGAATCAAATACTTCCCAAGTTCCTTAACCAAGAACGCTTTTACTTGGTTCACAACATTACCCCCCAATTCGATCCACCATTGGACCCAGTTGGAAAGATTGTTCCATGAACAATTCTATATGGGGCAAACCAAGATAAGCCTGAAAGAACTGGCGAGTGTGAAGAGACGTTTCACTGAACCTATAGACGAATATCTGAATAGGTTTAGGTTGCTTAAGGCGAGATGTTTCACACAAGTGCCAGAACATGAGCTGGTCGAAATGGCAGCGGGCGGTTTAGACTATTCCATTAGGAAGAAGCTAGATACCCAGTACCTAAGAGACATGGCCCAGCTGGCCGATAGAGTTCGACAAGTCGAACGCCTTAAAGCTGAAAAAGCTAAGGCAACAAAAACTCACAAGAGAGAAAGAATAGCGTACGTTGAGATGGATGACGAAGATCTAGAATCCTTCGACGATACTTTAGCTGTCGAAGAAGGAGAAGTCGACTTAGCAGAACTAAAACAAGGGCCTCCATACTCTTGTAAACAATTAGTCCCCTCAAACGGGAAAAATCCCATTG